TACATAATTCATTAATCCATTAGAATTTAATCTAATCAAATATATATATATATATATATATATATATATATATCATATATTCAGCAACATTCACAATTTTAATCCAAATACATATTTTTGCCATAATATGTTTTGCATCTAAAGATGCGATGAATGTCACATTTTATGTCAAATTTAGATGTATTTTTTTTATTTATTATATATTTTGAAGAGGACCCAAATTAAATTATTGTACAAGACTCATTTTATCCCATAGTTATACCACCATTGACTTCTCAATTCTCATCTTGATTTAAACTTGTGCAATTGTTATTGTGTTGACCGTGGTCAACACAACACTGTGGATCACAGACCAAAACGACATCATCTCCTCATTTAAGAAGATACTGCGCCGTTAATTTAGAGACGTGGGTCGCACAAACTTTTTTATTTTCACACGACTTACATTTTCCTCTCTATTGCTTCTTCCTTTAACTCCAATGCTACAACATACATGTGTTATAACTGATAAAGTACATTATTCTAACTCATAAGTACATCATCTTACCCCAGGAGGTTCATTATTCTAAACACATACCGACTGAGTAGATGCCGTTATTGGCTAACATAATTTTTTAAACGTCAAAACATCCACACAGCTATGTGAACTGTGCAATTTGCCAAACCTGTAGGTGGAATGGACTCCAGGTCTAAAGCCAATTGAGATCGAGAAATTGAGGCCCAAAAGGTAATTGGGTCATGAGAATAATTTAAATTCATTAGCAAGGTTTCTGAACCTCGATTAGGCGCAAATTATGCTGTGCAACCGTGTGCACCATGTATGCTGTGCAACCGTGTGCACCATGTATGGTGCACACGGTGGCAAAAACGACGTCGTTTTGATTAAAAACGCGGATGCACATAGACAACTGTTTTTCACCGTTGTCGTAGGGGTAAAATTTCTGTTGCTGAAACCAATGTTGTTGTAAGTCCCGCGCATAGACAACGGTTTTTAACCGTTGTCTTTTCTAGAAACAACAACGGTTTTTGAATCGTTTTCTATTAAGTGTTGTTGAAACCGGTGTTGTTAAAAGTCACGCACATAGACAATGGTTTTTAACTATTGTCGTTTTTTAGAAAAGACAACGATTTTTAAACCGTTGTCTATTGAGTGTTGTTGAAACTGGTGTTGTTAAAAGTCACGCACATAGACAACGGTTTTTAACCGTTGTCTTTTCCAGAAAAGGCAATGGTTTTTAAACACGCTTATCGGTCTTGATAAATGGGGTTAGCTACAGCTTCTTTCAACCGACGTGGGGGGTTAAGCAAGGCAACCCGCTCTCCCCCCTTCATCTTCATCCTTGTATCGGAGGCCCTTTCCTGCTCTCTTGTATTTAAAATGGACACGAGCTTGCTATCTCCATATGCTTCGAGGCTGGGATGCCTCATTATTTCTCATTTGGCGTTTGCAGACGATATTATTATTTTCGTCAATGGATCTTCAGGCTCTCTGAAGGCTCTCTCAGATGTTCTAAAACAGTACCAGGCCGGGTCCGAAAAGAAAATCAACTATAGCAAAAGTTTCTTCGTCACTTCCAAGCACTGCTCTACGGGAAGGTTATCCACAATGTCGCGTATTTTTTCTATGCAGCACTCGACTTTGCCTTTTCGTTACCTGGGGGTGAACATGTTCGCGGGGAGGAACAGAACACATTACTATTATCATGTCTTGGCAATGGTCCTGCTATATACAATGGCCTCTGTGCCTCTTCCTAAGCAGATTGAGAAAACTATTGAGTCAAAATTTGCTAAATTTTTTTGGGGAACCATTGAAGGTAGGCCGAAACGGCACTGGATGGCGTGGAAGAGGGTTTGTCTATCGATTGACGAGGGCGGTTTAGGTGTCCGCGGTCTCACGGCCAACCAAGAGGCGTTTTCAGCAAAGCTCTACTTCAATTATCTAAAAGGGGGATCCTTGTGGAGCTCCTTTATGCAAGAGCGCTACCGTGGTGACTTATCAGTTACGGCTGCCTCACAAACCTGGAGAAGAATGCAGCTCGTGAGAGACCTGGTGGAGGACAACACCATAACTGAAACTGTGGTGTGGATGCCGTTGGTGTATGGTAATTTTCCTTCTCCACGGCGTATGATTCGATCCGGCCAAAGGCGGGACGGAGTTTATCATCATCTGCCATCTGGGGAGCTCTAATCCCTTCGAAGATTTCAGTCTTTATGTGGCTTTTATTGCGGCGATTATTGCCTTTCCCGGATGTCATCCAATGCTTTGGATTTTGCTTGCCTTCGATCTGCCCTATCTGCCTGGCTGCAAGCTCAAGCTTGGAACTTTGCATGTACCATTGTAGCGGCGCCCAGGTCGTATGGAGACACTTTAACAGTATTTTTGGCTTAAGCCAGCGCAGCGTCTTCTTGGTGCGTGCGGCGTGCCAAGCTTGGTGGCTCCTGGATACTCCATCGCGCTTGGCGGCTACGCATGTCTTCTCCCATGCCTTATTCTGTGGTTTTTGTGGGTTTCTTACAATGAGAGCCTCTATGCTGGAGCAGCCTTCTCCGCTCAAAGGACTATTAGAAGAATCAAATCTGAAGCGTATTTGCTCTCCCTCGCAATACAGCCGCATTGTAGGGGGGCTGTAGGTTCCCTTCTGGTAGCTGAAGGCCTGGTTGCCCGCCTTTACTCTCCTCCACGACGAACAACGATTTAGGTTAAATGGTTGGCCCCACCGTCGGGGAGGTTAAAGTTGAACACAGACGCCTCATTCTCTTTAAATGGTGTTGCCAGTGGTGCGTGCCTAAGGGATTCAAGAGGCCATCTTGTTGTGGGTTTGTGCTACCATCTCAACACGTCCTCAGCACTTGAAGCGGAGGCTCTAGCTTTGCATAAAGCCATTTATGGTGTGAGGCCACTGTGACATAGCCTCTTATGATCGAGGTTGACTCTCTAACTCTCGCCAATTGTGTGTCCACGCCGGGGGGGGGGGGTTGATCCCTTGGAAGATACGTGAACCCGTTTTACACATCTGAGCTTGCCTTTTAGAATGGGGCTCTACTATTCGTCATGTCTTTCAGGAGGCGAACCAGGTGGCCGATGCGCTAGCAGAGGAAGCCCTCAATTTTGGTTCTCCCAAAGTTTTCAGCAATTTTGTTCTTTTGCCTGCTATGACCAAATTAGCTTTGATGTATGATCTTAGAGGCTTTGCCTCTCTTCGGGCTATTCGCCAATAATAGAGTCCCTTTGCTTAAAAAAAAATTGTTGTCTATTGTGTGTTGTTGAAACCGGTGTTATTAAAAGTCACGCACATAGACAACGATTTTTAACCGTTGTCTTGTCTTTTCTAGAAAAGACAACGGTTTTTCTATTTCGTGTTGTTGAAATCCGTGTTGTGAAAAGTCGCGCACATAGACAACGGTTTTTAACTGTTGTCTTTTCTAGAAAAGACAACGGTTTTTGAACCGTTGTCTTTTGAGTGTTGTTGAAACCAGTGTTGTTAAAAGTCACGCACATAGACAACAGTTTTAAACTATTTTCTTTTGTAGAAAAGACAACAGTTTGTAACCGTTGTCTATTGTATGTTGTTGAAACCTGTTGAATTCTTGATAATTTGAAGAATAGACAATGGTTTTTAACCGTTGTCTTATATATGGAATACAATGATTTTAAACCGTTGTTTTTAACCTGTTTAGGTTTTAAACATCATATAAAAAAAATTATACAATCACCATCACCAAGTGTAGATACACAATTTTGCACAAGCTAACGTTCAAAATACAAAAGAACTAATTACCAAGTCTAAATACTTCAATGACTAATTCCAATCCAATCACCATCCAAATCATAATACTTGAAGAAACAATTCCAAGAACCAAGTCTAAATGTTCACAAAGTTCTAATCATCATACTATACCTACTCTATATAACATGATACAATATCTGCCCATTCAGAACGCACCAAATCAATAACCGTTTTGTCGTAATCAACTTGTTGGAACTACATGTAAAAAGTTAGTAAATATATAAGTACGTACTCAACATAACCACAATATCATAAATTTTATGAAATTATTTGACATAATAATATATGTAAAAAAAAAAAAAAAAAAAAAAAAAAAGGTACACTGCATATAATATCATTTTTATAGCTAGATAGTGAGATACACATGTACCTAACATTATATACCAATAACTCTTCTCGTTAATCACTTGACAAGTAAAAGTTAGCTATATATAAACAATGAAGGAATAAAATTTATTCGATGGACGGATAATGATTCTGAAGTTCCAATTTGGCACATAGTCTTGCTAGTAACAGGTCTTCTCTAAAACTTTAACTTATTCTAGCAATAACAAATGAAGTTTGTTGAATGTATCTAGTTTTCCTACATTTGGTGTTATTTAGGAAAGGAAACATATTCTTGACCAGCACCATACCACTATCTCCAAGAAACCAGTCTCTAATCTTTTCCGCTGCAATCAGACTACTTGAAATGTCTAAGAAATTCCACTCCCTAAGATCTTAACTGAATGAATAGTTGCAGTTCTTGAGCTAAGATATATCCAGATGTGTATGAAACAGAAACAAGTATGATTACTGAAATCAAAACTTAGTGCAAGCACGAGACTTGTACCTACCAATCTACCATTACAAGTATGATAATTACAAGCAAAACTTCATGAAGTATCGAAACACAAACTGATAAAAGCAGAACTTTTATACAGAAGCATGCGAGATACAACTAATGAGCATGTAATAATACACACCCAAATATATATAATTATTGAAATCAAGGCACTTACTAGACTCTATCATTTGATATACACCCAACACCTCGAACGCGTGCACAAAAACCCAATGAAATATGATTAAAGGAAGAAGAAGAATATTTTGTTATGCTTGAACTGTTTCGTCAACTTTCTATACAGATCAAAGGCTCGTATAAGAGCAAATACAGGAAGGCGGGAAGGGTGGTTACAACTGAAAAGCTCAGCAAAAAATACAAGAAAGCCCCTACTTATTATTTGTTGTGGAGGGTGTAATGGTCTCATCCAATACCCCCCGGTAAGCTGGAGCATACATGTCATGTATGCCAAGCTTATGAACGAAAGCGCGTAACGGAGAAGTGGGAAGAGGTTTTGTGAATCCGTCCGCCGTTTGATTTGCAGAGGTGACAGATAGGAGCTTTACTAAGCCTTGCATCACTTTCTCACGAACCACATGACAATCGATCTCTATGTGTTTGGTGCGTTCGTGAAAAACGTAGTTTTCGGCTATAGCTATTGCCGATTTGTTGTCACAGAACAAGGTGGCATCTTTAGTAGTTGTAACTCTAAGATCATTAAGAAGATATGTGAGCCATTGAACCTCGCACACTATAGCTGTAAGAGCTCGGTACTCGGCCTCGGAGCTTGAACGGGAGATGGTGACTTGCTTCTTCGATCTCCATGAGATTAGAGAGGGGCCAAGAAAAATATAGAAGCCCGTAACAGACTTGCGTGTCTCGATGCAAGCCGCCCAGTCGGAGTCTGAAAAAGCTCTAAGGTGTAACTCTGTTTGTGAAGGGTAGAACAACCCTTGGCCAGGTGAAGCTTTGATGTATCTCAGCACCTGGTGTGCTGCTGTAAGATGTATGTCTGTTGGGGAGTCGACGAACTGGCTTAACTGCTGAGTGGCATAGGCAATGTCAGGCCTCGTGGCTGTGAGGTAGAGGAGCCTTCCTACCAGCCGTCTATATGAGCTAGCATCAGGCAGCAATTGCCTTCACCATGTATGAGCTTTAATCCGGGAATCATGGGAGTACTGGCCGACTTGCTTTCAAGGAACCCTGCTTCTTCTAATATTTCGAGGGCGTATTTCCTTTGACAGAGGCTTAAACCATCCTTTCCTTGGTGTGTTTCAATCCCCAAAAAATATCCCAGGGGTCCTAAGTCTTTGATTCGAAAAGTAGTATCCAGAAACTGTTTGAGGTCTGTAATGAGATTCAGGCTAGCACTGGCTACAAGTATGTCGTCCACATAGACAAGAATGGCAATAAAACCAGCATCATCATTCTTAGTGAACAAGGATGGATCAGCCTGAGATTGAATAAATCCAACTTGAATGAGAGCTGTAGTAAGTTTGACATTCCATTGGCGACTTGCCTGCTTCAAACCATATAATGAACGTAGAAGTCTGCATACTTGGTTTGGCCTTTCACTCTCAAATCCCGGAGGCAAAACCATGTAGACTTCCTCATTAAGATCCCAATGTAGGAAGGCGTTGTTGATGTCCAATTAATGAATGTGCCAGGATCTAGAGGTGGCAATGCAAATGAAAGTCCGAATCGTTGTCAGTCTAGCAACTGGAGAGAAGGTGTCAAAGTAGTCGATGCCGAGTTGTTGGGTGTAGCCCATGGCTACGAGTCGTGCCTTATATCTTTCGATTGTACCGTCAGCTTTCATCTTCACTTTGTATACCCACTTACACCCAATGGGAACTTTTCCCGGGGGCAGCTCAGATAATTCCCAGGTCTTGTTGTCTTGAAGAGCTTTTATTTCTGAGGCCATGGCATCTCTCCAACAAGTGTGCCAGACAGCTTGGTTGTAGGTTCTTGGTTCACAAGTGGATGTGACTGCCAAGGAAAACATTCTGTGAACAGAGTCAAGGTTATCATAAGTCATCCCCTTTGATATAGGATGGGGTGAGGTTTTGTATTGAATCACATTGTCACAATAATAGTCTTGTAACCTGCTGGACGGTTGCCTGTGTCTGGTGGAACGTCTAGCTTGTATGATAGGAGAGGGACTAGAGTCATGCATGTTATCTGCATTATCAACTGCATGACTATTTGTTGTTGCATCAGTGTTGGTCCCATCGATCCTGCATGGCAAAGATATGTGAGAATTGTAATCAAAGGATGATCCACTCTCCTCATGTTCATTGTGGGATTGTGATGAATCTGGGGGACTATGCTGGATCTCTTGATTATTATGTGGCACCGGCAGACCATGACTTTCTGCACATTCTTGGTGATTTTGTTGAAAGTCAATTTCTTCATGACTTGTAATTGAAATATTCGGCAAAGGTGGCATCAAATCTTGTGGAGATTCATCACTTATTTGACAATTCTTGGAGGTAAGGGGGAATTGGTCTTCATAAAAAATCACATCACGAGATATGAAGGCAGCCTTCTCACCAAGATCATAAAGCAGGTATCCTTTTACCCCTGCAGGAATGGCAATGAAGATACATTTTCGACTTCTTGGTGCCATCTTATGGCGTGAAGTGGGTAAGGTGGCAGCAAAAGACAAGCAACCAAAAACCTTTAGGTTAGAGAGATCTGGAACCTTACCATGCAACTTGTGATAAGGACTTGACCAATCAAGAACTACGGATGGGAGCCTGTTGATAACATAAATGGCATGGAGCACACAATGCCCCCAAAACTCAAGAGGAAGGCCTGCTTGAAATCTTAGGGCTCGAGCAACTGCTAAAACGTGCTGATGTTTCCTCTCAACCACAACATTTTGTTGAGGGGTGTTGACACAAGATTTTTGATGAATGGTGCCATTTTCATCAAATAGAGTTTTCATGCTAAATTCCAGGCTATTATCACTTCTTATTGTCTTTATAGTGACTCCATACTGTGTGTGAACCATTTTGAAAAAATCCTTGATTAAACCCCTTGTCTCGCATGAGTTTTAACCAAGTAAATCTGGAACAATCGTCCACAATAATGAGAAAGTATCTTTCCCCTTTCAAAGTCTTGATGTGGAATGGTCCCCATATATCCATGTGGACCAGATCAAAGCAGGCAGCAGAGACAGTTTTGCTCAGGGGAAAGGGGTTTCTTTTATGCTTAGCAAGATGGCATATGTCACAAGCCAGACTCTTAGTACTGGAAGCAGAAATATCAAGAAGATGCAGTTTATTTGAAGGAAAATGTCCCAAGCGTTGGTGCCACAATTCAACCTTATTACAAAGCATAGAAATTAGATTACACTTATCAAAAACAAGATTAGCTGATGGTGGATCATTGAGCAAGTACAGCCCCTTCTCTTCCCTAGCAAAGCCAGTCGTCTTCCCATGGTCCATTAGAAGGCACTGACCATAGGTAAATAACAAAGAGTGAGACGAATTCTTCAGCAACTTATTCACGGATATTATATTGAATCTGAATGAAGGGATGTGTAAATCATCTCTTAGCCACAGGTTATTGTTTAACCGGATGCTTCCCATATGTTTAACAGCCACACAATCCCCATTGGGTAAATTCACCATAGCACCAGTCACAGCAGAATAATCATCAAAGAAAGCAAGAGAACAAATGATGTGATCAGTGGCTCCCGAATCTATGATCCAATTAGAGGATGTCAGACAAGCAGTATTAATATAAGTGGGGGCGTAAAACTTGCTTTCATTACTAGACTTCATGCTGTTGAAGTTGGGAACTAGAGAGACGGCTGCATTGGTGGACTGTTAGTTATGCACTGCAGCACTAGAGGGTTGCTGTTTGTGCCCCATTTGATCAAGAAGGGAGATCAGACCTTGAACCTGCTGAGGAGTGAAGGTCTGTCCTGGTTGTGCAACTGCGGCATTAGCATACTGCTTTCCTTTGGATTTGTAGCCTGGTATCCAACCCGGAGGGAATCCGTGTTTCTTGTAACGCTTCTCAATGGTGTGTCCATTCATCCGGCAAAAGGTACATTTAGCCATAGATTTACCTCCTATTTCTGAATTCGCCCTTCTGCCATTAGAGTAGTTGAATGCAGCAGCCATTGAATCTATCGGCTCATTGAATTTTTCAGTTTGAGTGTGAATAGCATTTGCCTGGGTAAACTCCGTGCCATGTTTGTTGAGATTCATAACATTGAGCTGCCTTTCAAACTTTTCGGCCATAACCAGCACCTTGTGTAGGTCCGGAAGGGGATCAAGCACTAGAACTCCAGATTTCAGGGAGTTATAAGCTTCGCTGAGCCCCTGTAGGAATTTTATCACCTGATCAATTTCTCTGTCTTTCCTGATCTGATCCACAAGTCACACGAACAACGCGGCGTGCACTTGCATATAGGAAGGGGCCTGAGATCGTTCATCTCTTCCCAAATCGTGCGGCACCTGGTATAATAATCATTGACGGTTATAGCTCCCTGTCTCAGATCATTTATTTCGCTTTGTAGAGATGAGATGCGATGCGCATCTCTCTGTGAGAACCTCCTACGCAAATCATTCCAGATCAACTTTGCTTCGTCCATGTACATTACACTTTGTGCAATGGATGGCTGTACAGACCTCAGGATCCATGAAGACGCAATCAGATTGCATCTTCTCCACGCATTGTATTGACTGTGAGTTTGTTCCGGCGCAGGAAGGCTCCCATTGACGATTCCCCATTTATTTTTTACCTCAAGGGCCACTCTCATGGAGATACTCCATGTTGCATAGTTGTTGCTGCCAGAAAGGGGAGGGCTCACAAGTATCGCGTTAGGATTCTCATTGCTGCTCAGATAGAAGGGATTATCCAAGTCTTCGACAACGTTGCTCCTCTGCGGAGCAGGAACTCTTTGAGTATTGACATCTACCAGTGATTCCAGTTGAACTCCCTGGCTTGATTCACCGACGACTGCGGCGACATAGCTCTCCCGGCGGCGCTCTGATACCATATTGAGATATGGAACGAGAAATCAGAGTAAAGGAAGAAGAAGAATATTTTGTTATGCTTGAACTGTTTCGTCAACTTTCCATACAGATCAAAGGCTCGTATAAGAGCAAATACAGGAAGGCGGGAAGGGTGGTTACAACTGAAAAGCTCAGCCAAAAATACAAGAAAGCCCCTACTTATTATTTGTTGTGGAGGGTGTAATGGTCTCATCCAATAGGAGACGGCGGCGGAGGTTGGAGACGGTGACGGCGGTGTCGGAGGCGAGGCGGTGTACTATCTTCTCGACTTCGGCACTGCAGCGACGGAAATGGTATTTGTATTGCGCTGAAGTGTTTGTTTTTGTTTTAATTTCTTCTTTCCCGCTTAAGTGTCAATATCAAAATAAAGTTAAAATTTACAAAGAAGGAATTATTTTATTTGAGAGGGAAAGATATTTTTTTTGTAAATTTTACATGTCTTGAAAGTCAAAATTTAAAGAATAACATATATATCTATTTTTTTTAAGCAAAAAAAAAAAAAAAGATATATATATATATATATATATATATATATATATATATATATATAATGTATATCTAAAGTCAAAATTATTTTGACTTTTATTTCTTTTAAAGAATTAACATATATATCTAATATAATAAGTAAAATAACGAAAGTTTTATTTTTATTTCATAATAAGTCTTAATTTTTTTTTTTCAAATTAAATAAGTATATTCTTAGTTCTATAGGGACTGGGTCTACCATAAACCGGGTATATAGACACAGAACGGGGGCAAATTATGTTGTGTAACCGTGGGTGGACACTAGGAATGGAAATAGGCCGAGCCAAGCCGAGCTTTAGAAAATTATGCCTGGGCCTGTTACAAAAATCTAAAGCCTAGGTCTGGGCCTGAGCCTGTATGTAGGCATTTTGTTAGGCTCAAGCGTGAGCCTACAATTGGCCAGGCCTGGCTTGAATCCTTTTTTAAAAGCCTGTTTAATATTTAGGCCATTAAAAAGGCTTCGAAGTAAGTCCTACTTTGAGCCTATTTAAAGCCTCCATGTTAAAACTTTTTTAAAACTTTAACTGCCTGTTTGGTTCACGGAATAGGCTGGGAATGGCATAGCATTCCCAGTAACAGGCCTATTTTTTTGTTTGGTAACAATGTCTATTACCAGGAATAATAATCCTAGTAATAGCCTATTACCTCAGATGAAGTAATAGCTATTACCAGCCCCCCTGGTATTAACTTATTCCTGAGTCCTCAGGAATAAAATATATTTTTTTTTCAATTTTAACCTTATCTTTCTCGCCGTTCTCTCCCTACGTATCATTCTAACCTTCCCTGATTCCTTCATCATCAACATCAAAGTCAAGCAATTCTTTCTGCCACATCAAATTAAAGCATCATCAACATCAAAGTCAAGCAATTCTTTCGGCCACATCAAATTAAAGCATCATAAATTTTTAAAATTTTATTCTTTACAAATTAAATATTTAAATATTTAATTTTATATATATATAATTATATATATATATATATACACTATTGCGGCTGCGGAACCCTCCACGCCTTCCGCAGCCGCAGCAGTTTAGTTTTTTTTTTTTTTTTTTTTTTTTTTTTTTTTTTTAGTTTATTGTATCATTAATGTAATTATCACAAAAATTCGTATAGACAGTGTAATTGGTTTGATTTTACAATGATAGATTTGGTGGGAGTACCAGATATGATATGTTCATCTAATAATTTACCCATCTAATATCAATCAAAGTTTATTTAGCTAAGATTAAGGTTGACAAACAGATAATCTTTAACATGGGAATTGGTGAAAATGAAAGAAAAGATTGATTTTTTTTTTATCTTGAATTGAATTATAATACTTACTTAGGACTTGTTCTGCAGACAAGCGTTGGAAGGGTCCTTGACTTAGTTTTTTATGTTTTTTATTTTATTTTTTTTAATTTTTTGTTTTTAGTTTAGTTTTTTTTTTTTTTTTTTTTTTTTTTGTGCTGTAAAAGTGTTATTGTTTATTTTGTTTGGTTTTTTGTCACAGCAATGTTATTGTTTATGTTTTTACCGTAGTGTTATTATAATCTGTATATGTTATTGTAAGTTTTAAATTAAATTTGTAGTTATGGCTCGATTGCGTTAAATAACTCGTACTGAAAGAAGGAAAAGATGTGTAGTTGTATTGCGTGTATGGTTGGATATGTGTGCTTCAGTGAGTTTATTGTTTATCATGATGATGTCAACCTTGACAATTTTGTGTTCTAATAAAAAACGAGTGAAATCTTATATTATAAATACTTTAGGGTCTTGAGAATATATGTTACGAACTGTGTATTCGTGTGATGAAAAATGCATATCTCAACTTAGGATGAATCGACATGCTTTTGTGAAGTTGTGTGCAATGTTACAAACTATAGGAGGGTTAAGGCCAACAAGAAATATGCTTGTTGATGAGCAAGTAGCAATATTTTTACATATTATTGCTCAACACGTAAAAAATAAGATCATTCAAAATAATTTTCAAAGGTCGGGGGAAACTATTAGTCGATACTTTAATATAGATGGAAATGGTTTAAGGTAGTTAAACATATCCCCTACAGTTGAGTTATAAGTTTAATTACAATGTGAATATATATTTAATAATATTTGATATTATTTCTAGAATTGCCTAGGCGCTTTAGATGGAACTTTCATTAGAATACAAGTGCCATCAAAAGATAAACCTAGATATCGATCTCGCAAGGGTGAAATTGCAACAAATGTATTAGGTGTATGTACACCTAATATGCAATTTGTTTATGTTTTTCCGGGATGAGAAGGATCTGTAGCAAACAGTAGAGTTCTTCGGGATGCATTATCTAGAAGACATCCACTTAAGGTCCCTAATGGGTAAGCATTATAATATTAAATTCCAATTATCATGTAATATAACATGCATTCGTATTAAACTATAAACTTATGTTTCTAGGTTGTTACTACTTAGTTGTCGGAGGATATGCTAATAGTGAGGGATTTTTGACACCATTTAGAGGTCAAAGGTACCACTTAAATGAATGGCGTTAAGGTCATCAACCGACAACTCCCCAAGAATTCTTTAATATGAAACATGCAGCTGATCGAAATGTCATAGAACGTTGTTTTGGATTATTGAAAATGAGATGGGCTATACTTAGAAGCCCATCATTTTATCCTGTTAGAATACATAACAGACACTACAAGAAAAATCATGATTCGCGACGGAAAAATTTCGTCGCAAAAACGCAAAATTCTGTTGCGAAACGCGTTTTGCGACGGAATTTTGCATTTTCGCGTCAGAATTCATTCCGTAGCCTCCAGGCTTGTCGTATTTCATTTTGCGACAGAAATAATCCGTCGCGAGTGATGGTAACGGAAAATGTCAATGGAATTTTCCGTCGTGAAGTTGGCGACAGAAATCATTCCATCGCGAGTCCGTCGCAATTTTGGCAACGGAAATGATTCCTTCCGTCACCATTGCATTAAAAAATATTCCGTCGCTAAACTCATATTTCCTCGCCTATTGCTGTCGTGAAGTATAACGACGGAAATAATTGTTATCGCTATTCCGTCGCTAACTTTTCTGTTGCAAATTTTATATTCCGTTACAAAATTCCGTTATAAGAAAACGATGTAACAAATTTCCGTAGCAATTCCGTCACTAAATATTTCCTCGTAAAAAATTAACGGAATGCATTAATGTCGTGATTTCGTCGCGATTATGCTAAATTATCCTCTCTTTTTAAAAAAAAAAAAAATATTTTGATAATTATTATTTATTTTATTAAAATTCTAATGCTTGTATTTAAAATGTTAATATTCAATTATATTTATAAACAAAAGCACTATTTAAACTAAAATACAATCTAATTTGTAATATAAAAGTAATACTATTTTTTTTTGGAAACAATGTAATACTACTTTATTGTTCAATAAATTGAATTTTGTATTTAATACCAAATTTATGTCTAAACAATAATATAATAATCCATAAAAAATTCAATATCAAGTTTAATCCCGTTGTGATGAAGGTGATGAAGTACCAGCTCTCTCACTCTCAAGAGCATCTAATATTTGCTGCATAAAAAGCATAAAAGCGTCTATATTCTCAATCTCATCTTGCATCTTTGCAGAATTAGCGTTGTTTGTAGGTTATGAGGCCAATGTTATATTGTCTTATGTGTTAGCATTTATTGTACCACAAATGAAGCTACTCTCTATCAATGCACTTCCTATATTCATTCAGTAAGTTGCTCCAATACATCTAAGTTCACCACGACCAAGCATTGATTTCAGTAGATTTCCAGCATCCATTGCCCGATTGTCCCACCGGCAGCACCTATTCATAAATCATAACAGAAAAGCCTAATTCAAGCTTTTACTTTAAACAACAAAGTGAAAATAAACAAGCGACTTTTGCTTAGGCTGAGGCCAGTTTAACAAAAGGTTGTGTGAACTGACTAATAAATAAAAGGAAAACAAAACTAGTACATAACATAAAAGGAAAAAGATGAAGAAATGGAATTAACTTGACCTGCACTAACAACAATGTCGATCTCATCAATAAATATTATAATCTGCCAGTGTGGAGGTAGCAAGCATTGAACCTATATCCAATGATAAAATATTTGGATCGCAACTGGGATTATAACACATATCAGCAGGACAATATACAGTTTAGTATTTGGCTATATGATCACAAAATATGAAGCTGTCAACTACAAATAAAACACCCGCAGGTTGATCTGTCTCTAGGACTAGATTCTTCAATGTTCAATTAGGTTGTCTTTCAAAAAGTTTAAACATGATATCGTCCAGTTCACCACGGACCCTCCTAATTCTTTTTACTTCATTCAGGCACCTTAACTGGAGCTGCTTTATTCTTCTCCTGCAGAGAAAGGTTTAAATTAAAGAGGCTATACATTATCCTAATTACACAAGCTTATATGTACTGGAAGGAGATCATTGAGCACAACCACATAGGTCGTGTTATTGT